CTAACCTTGCATGCCGGGAACATTTGGTTGTTATATTTCTCACCCTTTTTTTAAGTCAAATAAAATAACTATAATATATCTCTCCGTTTAGAATTAAATATTTTTGTTTTGCATTAAATCATGACAATTCTTGATAAGCATGTAAGAGTACTTGTCTTTATAAGTAAAGCAGTTTTTTTTTATACATATAATATTAATATTTCTTAGGGATTTATGGTTTCAAAGGAAAAAAAGACATAATTATTACATGGATGTGATGCAGGATTTTTCGGCAGAACAATTTATTCGTTTCTCAAATAAAGGATTTTTAGCATAGCATTATAATATTTTGCTTAAATAGTTGTATATATGATTCTGTATAAGCAGTGTAATTTCACGACAAAAGGAACAATTATTACGTCCTCTGATAGGACGTAGAGCTACGTTCGCCCGTCAATAACATGTCGCTACGTGCTCTTACTCTTTACCGCGCGCCCGATGACTTGACCCGGACCGGAACCCGGGAATGCTATGTTCTCGATTTCCTCGGTATTGCTCTGTTTTTGCTCGGTATTGCTAGGTATTGCTTTGCAAAAACGAGAAATACCACTCTATGAAGACCAATACCATGCAAATACTGAGTTGTACCGAGTTTTTCTACAACTCGGTATTTGCTCAGGATCTGCTCGGTATTGCTAGGGATTTGCTCGGTATTGCTAGGTATTTGCTCGGTATTGCTAGAAAAAACTCGGTACAACTCGGTATTTGCTCGGTATTGGTAGGTATTTGCTCGGTATTGGTTATTGCCGAGCAAAATCGATCAATGCCTAGCAATACAGAGCAATACTGAGCTATCTTGAGTCCGTTCCGGGTCAGGTTGTCGGGGCGCACGGTAAATAATGAAAACGTGTGGCGCATTTCTACTGGCAGCCGAACGTAGAGTTGCGTACGTTCACCGGACCAAATAAAAGTTGGCTGAGTACGTAGTGATAAATCGTATGTGTTGGCTTGCGTGCAAACGGATGGCAATTATAGGGGCAAAAGGCTAAGCGGACGGGAGCATATAGACGAGATCAAGGGCGACCGACGTGATGTACCTGTAGATAAGATATTGATTTCGAGATTGGAGAAGGGTTCGTAATCGACAACGAGTTCGCAGTCGGAGGCAGTGTCACAGATCGGCGCGTGGAGTTTGGGGTGTCGGATGAAACAAGTGAAGGCGGAATTTTTGTCTGGTGTTTGAAGCAGAAGAGGCCTTCGACTAAGGGCGCGTTTGGGACGGCGGCACTGCTGTTTTACTGTATAAAAAGTTATGAAATCGTTGTTTGAGGGCATTACGGCAGAATAGCGGCAGAAAAAATTCGCGGCACGTAATTGCTTTCCGCGACCTTTCACTCTCTCCCGCCGTCAGGTGACCGGAGCCAAAAGATAAGTTCGGACAACCAATAAAAATTTGCCGCGTCACCTTGCGCTTTAGTTGCGCTTTTTGACTTGCGCTTTAGTTGCGCTTTGGTTGCGCTTTAGTTGCGCTTTGGTTGCGCTTTAGTTGCGCTTTGGTTGCGCTTTAGTTGCGCTTTAGTTGCGCTAATTTTAAAATAATATTTTATTATTATCCGAACCTATCTCTGCGTTCGGTCACCTGACCCAATAATTTGCCCCGTTGCAGTCCGCTGCTTTCGACAGAAAAATGACGAAAATCCCCTGCAAATATTCGCGACTACCACCATCATCCTCCTCAAGTTCATCACGGATAAGCAGTTGCTTAACCTAGCTCTCCCTTAACATGGCCTCACGTGAGATCAATCCTCGCTTCCCCTTGTCATTTCTCATCTCCAAAAAGCCAGAGCTCACATTCCTTCCCCGATCTCACGCCATTAACCCACCAGTTTCCTCCTCTCCTGCCTTCTCGCCGAATAGAGGGGCATCGATTACCGGGGATAATTAGCCTTTGGAGTCACCTTAGAGGGGTCAACCATCTGGAAGTTTTTTACCACAGTGATGACCCGATCGGTGACCTCAGATTTGTCCAGGAACGAGCCCTTGACTTCCTCCGAGAAGTGGTGGCAGAGGAGTTGGGAGAAAGAGAACGTCATCGGCGATCGAAGAGGATATCCTGCTTTCACCCTCAGGTGCTTCAGCAGAACGCTCCTCATCGCCGCCATTAGGTTATGCAAAGAGGTTTCTGGTTCCTTAGTTGCTCTATACTCTCCTGCCTTTGTTGATCAAGCAACAGACAGCAAATCCTTTTTATTGGTATCAACTATCAAGGTTGTTGATCTTCTTGCACCTTATCAGAACGGTGGTAAGTAATATAAATATTTATTTATGAGAAATATAAATAGCTATTCATGATATGTAATTACATATTTGTTAATTTTTTAATTAAATCTTAAAAATATATCATAGTTATATTATCATTAGAAAAAAATTTGTTTTGTATGAAGTATAATTTTTTTTCCATATTATTTTAAAATATGATAGTACATTATAAAAGAATTATATTATGGTATTTAATAGTTATAAAATATTTTATAAAAATTGATACAATTTTTATTTAGAATTGTTATTTATTAGCATATAATTTTTTTGAAAATTTTAACATTTACATCATTTTTTTCATCTCAATATATAAGGGTATAAAGGTAATTTACTCGCATACAGCTGCAGCACAGCAACTTGACAGTTATACTTCCCAAACAAAATATACTTCTTTTTGTACAACAATTTATAAAAGCAGCTTTCTGTACAACAATTTTGCAACCTACTTTACCGACAGCTGCAGTCGTCCCAAACGCACCCTAAGTGTCACTCGAACAAGGCCAAAGATCAGTCCGCCCTCCCATTAAAATTGGTATCTCTTTTCATTCAATTTTCTCCCCTTTTTATTGATTGGATTCCTGAAAATCGGTTACAGTAACCAAGAGTTGTATCTTTTCGACGATCAATTGCTTAGAGTGGGGCCAAATTGATAGTGTGAAGGATTGTGTCTCTTGGTGAGATGGGGTCGGAGAAAGCATCGAAGAGATGCAACTCATTATTTTTTTTTGTTCTTTCATTCATTTTTTTTTCTAGCAACAGCTTTAATACAATATTTTATTAATTTATAATTGTTGTGTTCAGAAATATTTGCAATGATAGATAGATAAAGAGCTTAGCGTCTTAGCTTTGAATGAAACTCCAGCACGCATACAAATAAAGAGAGACGGGTGCAAGTTATAAGTAAAATCATAATTTTTATGTGAAAAATTCCTAAAAAGAAAGAAAAATCACAAGCCTTGCCAATTTGAAATGAATTCAGTAGTGTTTGTTGTTAATTACAATTGATGACATTTCTCGAGGGAAGGCGTAGGCTCAATGCAACAAATATACATCATATAGAGCACTTTACTTAGTTGGGGCTAGACGAATCCAAGGTCAAGAGAGCTATTCTCAAGATAGTGTTGATCTGTCATTTGGTTCGTAGGATTGTTTTTGGACGACATAGGTCAAAGGGACCGCAATCAGCAAGTGACGGAGGTTGAAAGAACCATATTTGGTAAGTGATAGAAGTCAGATGGATCGTAGTCAATAAGTGACGGAGGTCGAAAGGACCGTAGTTGGGCGACTGTGGTAGGAGGGATCATAGTCGACAATCGACGGAGGTCAAAGGGACCATAATCGGCAGGCAATGGTGGTCAGACAGATCGTAGTTGGCAGTCAGAGGGACCACAGACAGTGAGCTATAGCGATTGGTGGGACCGTAGAAGATGGGCTTCATGGGTCGGAGGACTACAATCATCCAACGATGGGGGTTAAAGGCACTGCAGTCGGCAAATGATGGGGGTCAGGTGGACTACAGTTGGCGGGTGGCGGAGGTTGGAGGGTCCGCAGTCAACGAGCAACGATGGTTGGAAAAATCATATTTGGCAGGTGATGGTGATTGGAGGGACTGTAATTGGCATGCGATGGAGATCGGACGTAGGCTTGGTGACGGCTTCCTGATGAAGGTCCAACTGCTATGGTTTGACAGAGGTCTTGCAGTAGAGGCCTAGTAGCGATGATTCGCATGTTGGTGGTGCCAGGGTGGAGCTTTGAGATAGTTCAAGTCTCAGAGCTATCTTGAGTCTCTAGCCTAGGATCTAAGACTTCCAAAGTCCAAGCCCCCCTTCAAGTGGAAAAAATAGTCTATTTATATATTTTGAGAGTGCATGCACCATAAATATAGAGAAGATCCAGAGAAAATTCTGAGTGTTTCATCGGTACTCTCATACTGATTCTCTCGATCATAAAGCATTTGTCAAGCATTTAAGTGCCTTAATGATTGATGCTAGATTAAGTGGTCTTGGGCTCATTGAATTCATCTTGTCACGTTGCTCAATTTGACTTTAAGCATGTCATATTTAAAAATAATTTGGCCATCAAATTACTGCTTTGAACCTTCCAATTATTCTTTGGTCCCTTGTTTTGGGACCATTAGGGCTCGGATATGACCAACTTTGGTATCGTTTGGTTCGTCTCATTAAGACATTTAATTTGATCATAAGAGTTTTGAAATCGGAGTTTGAATGGTCCAAAATTTAATTTTTGATGTTTTCAATTCATATATACTTTAGGATTCATGCCTGATCAAGACAATTTTTGATGACGTGTTACCAAAAATTGTATTTCAATGCTCACCTTTATAAAAACATATGTATTTTTTAAAGCATGCCTTTTATAACATCTAAAGTTGCCTTTTTTCAAACCATACTACTTTTCTTAACACGTAAAGTTCACAAACCTATGACTTTTTTTTGTTTTTATTTATTGTTGAAAGAATATGTTAGGTTGCATGTCATTCATGCTTCTTTATAATTCTTTGCATGAATCACATGCAACCTTAATACCTTTGAAATTAACAAATAAAATTCATCTATATATAATTGTGTCACTATTTGCATGAATCACTTGCAACCTTAATAAATGTGTGAATGACAAGTACCGTTCATCTATAAATACCCAGCAATTTGTTCATGCAGCTTATTAAATTCGAGCTTCCATTCTTTGTTTCCTACCGCTTCTAACGTAAATGGGTAGTCCAAATGTGTCCAAGATCTTAGTTATTGGAGCAACGGGTTACATTGGGAGGCACCTCATTCAAGCAAGCATTAAGCTCGGCCACCCTACTTTTGCCCTTGCGAGGCCCATCACTTCCTCTCACAACATTGAGAAGATCAATCTCATACAATCTTTCAAGAACAATGGTGTCAATGTCTTATTTGTATGACCAACCTCTCTCTCTCTCTCTCTCTCTCTCTCTCTCTCTCTCTCTCTCTCTCTCTCTCTCTCTCTCTAGATATTCTTATTATTAGGGGTGTCAATTCGGGTCAGCATGTTGGATTTGGGTCCAATCTGTGTTAACCCAGGCGTAAACGGGTTGACTCGAACTTGACTCGTTTAGCTAAATGGGTCAGGATTTTTAAGCTGGACCTGACCCACGCGGGTTACTGGGTTGACCCAACCCAACCCATGAACCCGATTATTTAAACTGCAGTCAATGAGTTGCACGGATAGGGTCTGAAAAATCGCAAATGCAAGCGGTGAGCTGGTGAGGCAAGGCCTGGTCTGGGCAAATTTCTGCGGCGGTCGGCGGGTAAGGCCTGAGCGAATGCTAGCGCTAGTGGAGAACAAGTTCCGCCTTCCTTCGGACATGCATCTAGGTCGGACGTTCTCGTGAGGCGGACTGGCAGAGAAGGTGGTAAGGTCGAGTGGCCGACTGCTTGACTCAACTAGGATGCTAGGTTGGACGTCAGAGGGTGAGGTTCGTGCGGTAGGCTGGTGGAGGAGGCCAAGCAGGGTTGACCGTCAATTATGACCATGCGGGTCTTGCGATAGGCTGGAGAAGGCGAGAAGTCACGCATCCAGATGGACTAGTCATCACCATTCACGTGGGTTAGCCGGGTCAAAGTCAGGTTTTCGAGTTTACCTGAACCCGACCCATTTTTCAAACGGGTCAATAATCCGAATTGGTACCTTACCCATTTTACAAACGGGTTGACCCGAACCCGAATTTTTTCAGATCGGGTTTTGAGTCGTGTCAACTTTTGACGCCCCTATTATTATATATATTCTTTAGTGGAATAGGACTATTTTTCCTACATATGTTCATTGATTTCATTCGTTGCATGTTATCTCTTAATGCAACTAAATTAATAAACAAATATAATTAAACTATCAGATGATATAACAATATTAGTAGACAATCACAATTTAAATATTTTTAGATATATTATATAATGTATGAAATGAAGAGCATGTGTGCTAAAATTAGTCTCGTTTCAATATAAAATGTGCCATATGATATTTTGATATTTAGACGAGCAAATTTATACACACATCATATATCTTAGGCTTCGTTTGGGACGGCTTTTTTATTGCTTTCTAAAACGGAGTTTTAGTACAAAAATAAAAAAATTTGTACTAAAACTCCGTTTTAGAAAGTAATAAAAAAGCCGCCCCAAACGAACCCTTAAATTTCAAATTCAAGACCTTTTGGTTGGTAGCCGAAGCTCCCAACTGACAGATCAAGATGAACTTTGTACATAAATTACCTAACTTTATTAAAAGAATTTATGTTTTTATTTATTTTTTATAAATATAATTATTTATGCAAGATTAAATTTATCATATCGATGCAAGGCATTATTTCTGATAAATTCTTAATAAGAAATTATATATATATATATATATATATATTTTTCTAATAAATATTTTTTATATATATATATATATATATATATATAATAATGTTTGCTTAAGAACATATAAATTTAAATAAAAATTAGAATAAGATCTTCATCATTTAATAACAGAAAAATTAAATGAATAATAGTTAAAATATATTATATTTCATCTTTTATCTTATTATTAAATTTGAGTACTTTTATTAATATTAAATTTGATAACTCAAAGAGATTAATTCAATAAATGTTCGACTCATTCGGTCTAAGTTTAATTAATATGAGGGTAAATTTTTTATGAAGATACATTTGAAGTCAAACTTAAGGAAGGAGTAATATAATTTAATTTTAAAAAGATTAAAAATGGTATGCAAGAATGTGTTTTGCCTGAAAACGAATAAGAAAAAAAATGTACTTCAAAACATAAAACGTTTAACAGTAATTGTGTTTTCTATTAAACTTGAAGAGCTATGAATCCGATTTCAACGAGCTTACAGTCAAACTGAGCGTCTATCGGAAATACAACCAACGACACCAAGATCAACCCAATCCGAGCCAATAACAAATTCAAGTTTCAAAGCGCTGTGGAAGTTCAAACCCGCAATTGAGTTACCAAACGGTCTCGCGATTTTGACGAGCTTTATACTCAAATCAAACGGCTCGACGAGGAAGAATCCAACGAGCCAAGATCATCAAATTAGACTTCATTAAGGCCTTCAATGTCCAACGACAGTGCATGATCAAAGGATTCATATCACCGCCATTCAAACCACTACCAATTTCGCCCTTGATCTGACACCTATTTAGGCTATGGCACTCCAGAAAACTATAAATAGAGCCCTC